TTGTATTGAATCTAGAGATCCATTTGGTGATATTTGACATGTTTATTAGGTCTTTCAATGGATGAACACAATGTATCTTCCATTTTTTAAGCCTTCTTTAATTTCTCTCTGCAGGGTTTTGAAGTTTTTTGTGTACAGATCTTATATATTTTTCTCGGGTTTATATATCTTATTTTTATGCTATTTCTCAATGCCAGTATATATAATGAAGTTGACTTTGTATACTAATCATGTATCCTGCAAACTTGCTAAAATAAGTTTAGTTTGTTTGTAAATTTTGTTTGATTTTGTTACATAGGTAATCATGGCATCTGAATATAAATAATATTTTACTTCTTCTTTTTCAATCCAGACATCTTTTATTTCTCTTTCTTACTTCAGTATACTGGCTGGAAACTCCAGTAAAACACTGAATAGAATTGGTAAGGGAGAACATCCTTATTCTTGATCTTAGGGGAAAAGTGTTCAGTCTTTCACCATTAAGGACAATATGTTTTTCATAGATGTTCTTTATTCAGAATGTTATCTTCTATTCTTAATTTGTTGAGAGATATTTTAATCAGGAATGAATGTTGAAATTCTGTAAAAAATTTTTTAACATGTACTGAGAATATCATCTGGTTTTTCTTTTTATGTTTAATATGGCAAATTATAGATTGATTTTTGAATGTTAAACCACCCTTGCATTTCTCAAGTTAATCTCTCTTGGTAATAATACAACATTCTCTATATATTAATGGACTTGATTTGGACATTTTTCTTTACAATGTTTGCATCTATATTTAAGAGGGCTATTGATTTCTAGGTTTTTTAAATTTTATTAATATCTCCTTTCTAAATCTGTTGTTTTCTTTCTTTTTTCTTCTTTTCTTTCTTTTTGATTCGCTCTTGTTGCCCAGGCTGGAGTGCAAATACACGATCTTAGCTCACTGCAACCTCTGCCTTCCAGGTTCAAGCGATTCTCCTGCCTCAGCCTCCCTAGCAGCTGGGATTACAGGCACCCGCCACCACACCCAGCTAATTTTTGTATTTTTAGTAGAGACGAGGTTTCACCATGTTGGCCAGGTTGGTCTCAAACTCCTGACCTCAGGTGATCCGCCTGCCTCGGCCTCCCAAAGTGCTGGGATTATAGGCGTGAGTCACTGCACCCAGCCTGTTTTCTTATAATATCTTGGTCTTGCTTTGGTGTCAGGGTAATACTGACCTCACAGAATGTGTTACGGCGGATTCCTTTCTCCACACTTTTCTGAAAAAGTTGGTGCATAACTGATATTATTTTTTCCATAAAAGTTTTGCACAAGCCATCTGGGTCAAGACTATTCCTTGGAGGAAAATTTTAAACCGTTTTTAACTATCAATTCTATATCTTTAGTACATATTATAGTTATTCCAGTTATCCATTTCTTCTTGAACAAGCTTTATTAATTTGCGTATTTTAAGGAATTTGCCCATTTAAGTACTTAAATTTATTAACTTAAAGTTGTTTTTAATATTTCAGTTTACCTTTTAATATCTACAGAATCTGTAGTAATGTCACCTCTTCTATTCCTAGTATTGGTCATTTGTCTATTTTCCCCACTGGTATTGAGAAATTATGATATTTCTTGTGCTTAAGAATGTAATGATCGTAAATCTATGGCTTTATGGTTTTCAATACACTTGGAAAATTTCTGGTCATTATTTTCTCAGTAATTTTTTCTGTTTCTCCGTCTCACTCCTCCTCTTGGGGAACGCCAAGTATTTATCTGGTAGGTTGCCTGAAGCTTTCCCACAGCTCACTGATGCTGTTTTCATTTTTAACATTTCTCTTTCTCCCTATGTTTCATGTGGAATCATTTCCAATGTTATATTTTTAAATTCACCAATCTTTTCTTCTGCACTGTTTAATCTGTGTTAATTTCCTCCAATGTATTTTTCACTTCAGACATTGTAAATGTTTTCATCTCTAGAGGTTTAATTTTGGTATTTTTTATATTTGTACCTCTCTCTAAACTTTTTTAATATATGGAATAAATATATAATCATTTTAATGTCCTTTTCTCTAATTTTAATAACTGTGTCAGTTCAGATTCAATTTCCATTGGTTAAGTTTTCATCATGAGTTCTATTTTTGGTTCTTTTTTGCATGTCTACTAATCTTTGATGGCATTCTAGAAATTGTACATTTTATCTTATTGGGTACTGGATATTATTATATTTCTATAGTCTTGAGCTTTGATCTGGGTGCAGTTAAATTACTTACAGTTTCATCATTTTAGGTCTTGCTTTTAAGATCTATTAGGGAGGACAAGAGCAACATTTAATTCAGGACTAGTTATTCCATATTACTGTGGCAAGACTGAGTGCTTATGAATTATGAGGTTTTCTGTTCTGACCGTGCATGCAGGCACTATTCCCAGCCCTATGTGAGCACCAGGCATTGTTCCCTCCAATTTTCTCAAGTAGTTGCTTCCCTGACCTCTGGCAGTTTCTCGTGTCATTGATTGGGTCTACTGAATGCTTGTGTAGGGACCCGCCACAAATCTATGAAGATCTCTGTCTCTGCAGCTTTATCTTCCCTGGTAGTTTATCCTAAATACTGTAGCCTACATTGGTTCTCCAGACCTTCAACAGCATCTCCTCATATCAGAAGTCTGCCAGGCTCTGCCTGTATTCCTCCCTATCTCCCCTCTCCAAGGTCTGGAAACTCAAGAAGATAAGTTGGTAGAATCGTAGGGCTTACCTTGTGTGTTTCTCATCTCTCAGGGATCCTTGTCCTTCATTGTCTGATGTCCAGTGTCCCAAAAACCATTGTTCCATATATTTTGTCTAGTCTGATTCGGCTATTTCAGGCAAGCTGGTGCTATGGTTTGAATGTCCCCTCCAAAACCCATATTGAAATTCAATTGCCATTGTAACAGTGGTGACATCTGGGGTCTTTAAGAGGTTATTAGATAATGAGGGCTCTGCCCTAATGAATAGATTACTGCCATTATCACAGGGATGGATTAGTTATTGTGGGAATTCAGCCCCCTTTCTCTCTCCATCTTGTGCTTTCACTTGCTCTTCTGCCTCCACCATAGGATAATAATGCAGCACAAAGGCCCTGGCAAGATGCCAGCCCCATGATCTTGGACTTCCCAGCCTCCAGAACTGTAAGCCAAATAAATTTCTTTTTGTTATAAATCATCTAGTGTGTGGTATTGTTAAGGCAACACTAAGTAGACTAAGACAGATGGTAAATCTGGTCCCTATACTCCATCTTGCTTAGAAGTAGAAGGCTGTGTGTGTGTGCATGTGTGTGTGTGTGTGTGTTGTTGTTGTTGTTCTTTTCAGTTTCTTGAATGTGCTTATTTATCATTTATTAAATTCACTTTTCATTTTTAATGGAGGCATTTAATGCTTAAACATTCATTTTCGTAGGGCTCTAGCCAATTGTGACAGGTTTGAAACGTGATTTTCTCCTGTTCCTTACTTTTAAATTTAAAAAAATTAGATTACATTTCCTGTATATTCTGATGGTTGCTTTTAAATTTCTATTGTTTTGGGTGGTTTGTTTTGTCTGCCATTTTTGCTGTTTTTCTGCTGTTCATTTTTTTTGTACTGCATGTGATTAAAGAATAAAGTGTATTGGGTTTATTTTATTCTGTAATTTATTGAGTTTTTTCCCTCAAAGTTTCAGTTAACTGACATTTTCCCTAAATCCTACAAATAATGTGAGTTCCCTTTGTTGTGTATATACTTTCTCTCTCTCCCCATCTATTTATATAGATGCACGTACATATATGTGTGTATATGATTATGTTAATTTTGCTACTTACTATCTCTATTTTATTACATGTCATGTTGAGTTTCTTTACATCTGAAAATAATTATTAGGTATATTACCAGATGTGGGGTTGCACAGTGAGGGACTATCAGGGAACACTGTACACTGGTGATAAAAGTCACGGTAATAAGGTCGTATTTTTCTATGATCTAAATTTATCTTTTCTGCCAAAATTAAACTTTGACATTTCCTCATGAACAATTAAGGCTTCCACAAAAAGTTATTTTTGGTATTCAAACTAGTAAATATTCAATGTAATTTTTATATAAGTACATGAATGATTTATACAATTCAAAGGCAAACTGTAGACTGCAAAAGATTACAATAATAAAACTATGGAAAAAGAAAACATTTTTCCTTTGCCATAATACTTACCTTAATGGGCCCAATGTGGGGAGATCCTTTAATTGTTGCAAGTATGACTTGAGACTCTTCTAACTGAGCTGATATGTCATCTATAGATGGTATTATGAAGATAGAGTAAATCTCTGTGTGGTGAAGAACTAAATGCAAAGGAGTAATGTTCCAAAAATCAATAATCTTAAATAGCATTTTTTCAAGAGCAGCTTCATTAGTTGCTGAAGTTGACATATCATTTATTTCATTTTCATACTGAAACATCTAAAATGAACAAATTATTCTTTAGTATCCAGTATAGCAAATAATTCCTGATATGTCTAAAATGGAAATTTTAAATGTATGTTTTGAAAGGCACATCAAAAATATTGAAGATCTAATTCCAGTTAGGTTTACATCCTTACCAGCAACTTTATGGTCTAACCTTCACGACATATCCCTTTGCACTTTAAAATCATCCTATTTCACGTTTTTCATAATCAGTGAAGATTTCCAACTTTCCCCTGATTCTAGCCAGTTATAAAGAGTATATACCTTCTGTATACGTGTAGGTGGTATTATTTCCTTCAGCATTCTTTCCTCTGCCCTAATGCCAACTGCTGAATTACTTTGTGACATGCTTTTACTCTCTATAATATTCTTGGGATATATTCATGTAAGAGAATGCAACTCTGATGGATCCCAATTTCCATGGCTTCCATTTCTTTGCCTCATTTCTTTCAGGATACATGTTTCTCAAAATACATTAGTGGAGTATATACAGACCTTCTTACCATGTGCACTGCCCTGCAATTCCTATAGGACAAGATCCTGATATAAGATCTCCAGAGTCACTCACTATAATAGAGATACTCAGAGACCTTCTCATCTACACATCTTAGAATTAACTAGTTGGGCTTATTGTTTTATAGCTGGTAGGTAAGACTCTGCCACCATTCTTGTATGTCATCTCTATGGTGTCAAAGAATAATGCCCAATCCCTATGTTTTAGTACGCAACTCAGTGGGGATTATGAATAGATATGACTAGTTTTCATCATTTCTCTTATATGCTTGCCAAAGATGAATTATAAGGATGGTGGGATCAGTTACTTCTTATGGCCTTAAGTAACAGTTTTGGAAAAGAAGCCTACCTTTTGACATAGATTATTCAGTCAAAGGCAGATAAAGAACTATAGAACCATCAAAGTTCGTGCCTAATGCTAACATTCTGAGATTGCTAAAAACTAAATCCAGACACTGATAATGTGTAAAGCAAAATTTCAGTGAAGTGAATCTAGCCTTGTCAAGTCTTTATGGTCAAAGTATGGGACCTGACTGACAAATAGTCAGATCTTCCAACTGACTTGATAATAGCTGGGTGGTTTCAGCTGAATCTTGACGGTTGTAATTAATTATCTAACTTCATTATAAAGCATATGGCTTTCCAAAGTGAAAATTATCAACCATAAAATGATTGATAAGTGTTCATCACATGCATACCGTTGAGCTCTTGCTCTTAATTTACTTCATGAAATGCTTTTCATGTGGTAGGTTTTTCAGAGCCTGCACAACATCTTGGACAAAATGGTTGTCATATAACTGCAAGCCACCATAGTTTATTCATTTAATAGAACTTCTAATATGACCTATCTTGGAAAGTCTTGCAGCGTGACCACCAACTCTGGGTCAGTCCTCCAAAATGCAAGTTTTAATAAATGAAGACTGAGTTTCTGGGCCAAATCCTGTTCATTTTGGCATCTACATTATACTGGATACATTGTCAAATTTCTACAGGATGACCAAAATCATCCAGGAGCTCTTAGAGTTCACTTGAAATTACCAGCTGATTGCCTTCTTATCCCTTCTATTATTACAATTATCTTCAAGAAGAAGAAGGAGTTCCTCTAACTCCTCACTGCAGTATTTCAAAGGCTGAAGACCTTGCTCACTTTTGTTCACATGTCAAACTGTCCTAATTGGGGCCCTCTAAAAAATGCATAGGACTTCCTTTGTAAACTATCTATTAATGTTAGACATGTAATAGCTGATTGGAACCCTTTGAGTTATTACAGGCCACCATCCCCATGTAGGCCACCAGCTGCTATCATATGTACCTATCTACCCTAACTTTTATAGCTTGCTGCTACATTTAGTCTGAAAAATTCTCACCCTTTATCTAACTTTACCCAAGAAGAGTTCCAATAACCCAAGACTGGAAATAAAAATACCACTAAAATTGTGCTAGATTTTATGCATGCTGATTTGAAATAAATTCATCTGTTGGTATTTGCTTTTATGCTCTGACATCATCTAGCTACCTTGCTGAATTCCCCTTGGCATGTATATCAGTTGGGCATGTATATCAGTTAGGAGGCTCTAAAATGAGATATGTAGATACGATGAATAGTATGAAGAAGATTCAGAATTATTTCATGATTTTTAGTGTAAACAGTTGGAAGAATGGAGCTACCATCAACTGAGATAAGAAACACAGAGGAAGAGTAGAATTTGGAGATGGAGAATGAAAGGTGAATGTTTTTGACATGTTTTGATACGTTTTTGACATATCTCAACTTAGACATATAAGCTGAGATACTGAATAGGAAATTGCATATGTGAATTTGGAGTTCAGGAGAAAGTTGAGATTAGGGCTGGTGATAAAAAATAATCTAATTTTTAAAAATGAAAGTTGTTTTTTAAAAAATTCTTCTTTTGAAATTCTTAAAAAAAAAGTGCCCATGTTCCTCATTACAACAGATTATTTAGTAGAGAATTACAGGAATAAAATACGTGTTTTGATTACATTATATGTTGTCAGCCATGAAACATTAAACATAAATGAAGCTTATTGCAAGTTAGGCATGAAAATAGAAAATTTTTAATCATGGAAAAATTGAAAAAAGTATTTTTTATTATAAAACTTACATGGAAAGTCAAATAGTTGTTTATTATGCATTTTAAATATAATGTCAAGTTATATATATGTTAAGGTAGGGCAATTCTTACATGTCTTAACATATTTTCATTTTACATATAATGAACACAGTGGTTTTTATATTTCCATTCCTATAAAATGTGTTCTGTATTAGTAGTACTGTTAAATAATGAAGCACTAATTTCATTTGTCATACATGAAAACCAGTATTACTGTTTTTTAATCACCTAAATAATAATGGAATAATTAATAGCTTACCCAATATCTCCAATTAAATAATTTCCTATCACCTATTATTCTACAAACGTACTATTATTTTCCCAGGCACTCATAAACTTCCTTTCCTAATTCCTATTCGTTGTATATTTACTTGCCTATTTAAAATTGGCCCATCTGGTATTTCAACCTATTTTTTTTTAAAACCATTTTTATTTACCTTGAGAGCTAGAAGATTCTCTACTTTACAGTTTTTATCAAGGGTAACTGACTTCCCAATAGTCTCCTGGAGAGCCTCCCAATGCCTTGGCTTGAGACAGGGATTTCCCAGAGCTATAATGATAGGCAGCTCTTGTTTAAACTCTGTTACCACTTGCTTAAGATGTGTCAGCATATCGCTTTTAGGTAAACCTATAAATGACAATGGGTCAGTAGGCTTACCATATGTTCATTATATTTTTTAAACAAAAATTGAGAAAAGATTTTTTTCTTTAAAATTTGTTAAACACTCCTTTATCAATTATTAAACTACATTAAAATAACATGAAGCAGTGAGCTTTATTAACACCATCCTTCCATGAGAATCAACTATGCATTAAAATAAAGAGAAATAGTTATAAGGACTGGTGACAAAAGCCCAACTATCACAACCAAATTATCTTAGAAAATTTGATACCAGGAGTGGCCAGCTACCACAGGTTTCCCAGATTTTCCCTGACATGATAAATATACAGACAAATGGGTACACATGCACATGCACACACACGTGAGCACACACACACAAACACACACACACAGCACAAACATTCAGAAGACTGTCATAGATTCTGGGTATTTATTTATTTAAATAACACCTTAACATAGCAAGATGAGGTCTTGCTGTGTTGCCCAGACTGGTCTCAAACTCCTGGCCTTGAATGATCCGCCCACCTCAGCCTCCCCAAGTGCTGTGATTACAGGCATGAGCCACTGTACTCAGCTGGTTTGGGTTTTTTAAAGTTTTGGTAAGTAGGGAAGAACATCAAGGGAAAAAATATACCATCACTACGATTTCATTAAAAAATACTTTAACACCAAAATGTAGGAAATGTAGGTGACAGCTTTGCCACAGACCAGCACTAGTCTGTCCTCTGCCACTGACAAACCACTGAAGTACAGGATTCAAAACCTATGGAGTGGAAGATTCAACTCTTACAACCTTTTTACTCAACTTGTAAAAGAAAGAGGAGGGGGCCAAAGTTAGAGACTCAGGAGAACTGAAAACTTCACCCATACATTCAAAAAACCAATTTGTACACATGGGGCTTCTTTTATAAAGCCATATTAAACAGTAATATGTTTTTAAGACCTGATTAAATAGAAGATCAAGAGTGTAACTTTAGTTTTGCCAGTCTAGACTTTGGCAAACAGCAAGATTTTATCTGGGGAACCATGGGTAAAAGAAGGTATCATCTAGTTGTTACTTTACTGTTCTCCAAAGCATGTATATAACAAAATATTAAGAGGGGATGCACACAATGAGTGTTATGTTAAAGAGACTGCAATTTGCCCCCAATTGTTCTCTTTTCTAAACTTCTGTGCTATTGTTATATTTCTTACATAATTTTAAAACAACTGAAATAAAGTGTTTTTCTGGCTTTTCTGGAGAAGAAATTAGTTTAAGGTATAGCTGAGTGATAGGGGAGAAGTCTTTAAAAAAAATACAAAGATATTCTCTTGGCCAGGTGAAACAACATCTCCCTTTTGGAAAGGGATATGATCTTACAGAAATGCTCTCACAAAAAGCAGTATCTTTGCATTGGCAAGATTTCAAATTTGATAATTAAAATAAAATAAACCTCTAAAAATTACACTGTTTACCCACTGCCCTAAAGATAATGATCATGCAGATGGTCCTTTATCATCAAAACATCTCCGACTAGTGCCCTAAGAAGGGCCATACTCAGGGTAAGGTAGCTGGGGTTCTGTGCAGGGAACCAACTTTTAAAGGACATAAAAATTGTTAATTACTTAATAAAACTTTTTTGACAAGGACTTAATCTCTTTTTTGCTTCAATAAAATTCCTACCTATACTCCTGTACTGTAGCTCTAGCCATTATGGTCAACCCCTGAGAACAGGTAAAGAAACAAGCCAAGGACAATGCTCTTGATGTCCAAAGGCCATTTGGTACATAGATCTAGGTGGGAAAATTTGAGAAACACATTTTTACCTTTTTCTAATACCGAGATTATGTTCATCAGTTTTGAAACATTTTTCTGTACTGATTCAACATCAATACTTTGAAGAGAACAATTCCTCCATTCCGAAGAGGCTTGCCTCCACTCCTCTTGTGCTTCCCATAATTTTTTCCTCAAAGTCAAGTCACATTCAATGTCAGAGATCTCTGAAAGCACAATCTGTGTAATTTCTTCCACATTAATAGAATGCATATGAGATTGAGAATCACTGAAACAATCCTGATAGCTTGAATATGCTTTAGCTTTGTTAGTTAAACTTGCAGCTTCCCCTGAGAGAGTCTGGATCATTTCCATTGCCGTTGACACTTGAGTACCAGCACATAACAAAAGAGGAGTTCTTATCTAAAAAATAAGAGTAGGACTTTCTAAGAGAAATCAGTATGTCTAGAACATACCTGTTTTACTGGCAGTGAAAGCATTTTAGTACATAATCTAGGCTTTTACCTGATAAGTGAGTGAAATTGGAACTATCATTACCATTTTGCCCAGACAAAGATAAAGACTGGCCCAGAAAGATTTCAGGGGGTTTTAGTCCTTTTTATGCCATGAGCCCATTTGGCAGTCTCTTGAAGCCTATGGTAAAAGTCACTAGCCATGCTGCTGTTTGTTCCCTACATTCACTCATAGTTGAGAAAATGCTAAGTTCCAGTTAGAAATTAGTGAAAATGGAGATGTAATTTTACTTCCCATTCAAATTCACAAATCACCAAAATTCTGTCTGTGAATCCCAGTTTAAGAATACTTGTATTAAATTGTTTAGCCAAAATTCCACTGAAAGCAAATACCCAAATGCCTGGACTTATGAGACTAAGGTCAAGTTTTTAATTTAAAAAATCCGAAAAAACCTAAAAACTTACCTTGGCTTTTAAATTGCTAACATCAACACGTAGACCACTGATACATGCTTCCAAGTTATCTCTGAATTTAGTTAAAGCAGTGTCTTTATTTACTATACTTAACTTCATAGATGATTTTAGTTGACTAAACTTAATATGAAGAACTTGGAATATGGCAATTTGCTCTTCTGAAATATGGATCTGGTGATGGGTTACAACAGAATATAGCTGAGAAATTGTTAAGTACTCTTTTTCTAATTTAGATATTTTTGAGGAAATTGTATTCAAAAAAATAAAATGCTCCACGAATTCTTCTATTTCAGTGGGATCACATTCCAGCTGCTGCAATGATGATTCCACAACCTGAAATCAACATGTCAATTATAATTGTATAATGACTTTTCACCATTTTGGAAGACTAATTATTCTTTTTAATTTCTCTTACTTATATAAGTCTAATTTCAAACAATAATGAAAACATCATATATTAGTCTGTTCTCACACTGCTATAAAGAACTGCTTGAGACTGGGTAATTTGTGAAGAAAAGAGGTTTAATTGACTCACAGTTCCATAGGCTGTACAAGAAGCATGGCTGGGAGGCCTCAGGAAATCTACAATCATGGCAGAAGGTGAAGGGGAAGCAAGCACATCTTACCAAGGAAGAAAAGAGGAGAGAGAGAGAGAGACAGAGAGAGAGAGACAGAGAGAGAGAGAGAGAGAGAGAATGAATGTGGGAGTGCTACACACTCTCAAACAACCAGACCTCCTGAGAGCTCCATTGCAAGAACAGCAAACAACCAGACCTCCTGAGAACTCCATTGCGAGAACAGCAAACAACCAGACCTCCTGAGAACTCCATTGCGAGAACAGCAAGGGGGAAGTCCACCCCTATGATTCAACCACCTCTCACCAGTGCCCCCATTTCAACATGTGGGGATTACAATTTGACATGAGATTTGGCTGGGGACACAGAGCCAAACCATATCACATAATCTAGACATAATTCTAAGTATTATTTAAGTACTGGGGCATTAACATGACCAAATCCTTCTACTGTTAACAAAAGGCACTTGAATGTATCCCACATTCAAGTGGGATAATGCTATTAAGACATAAAATAAGTAAATGCTATTAAGACATAAAATAAGTAAATTGTGAATAACAATTTTTAAGAAATGTAATATAAATGGTAAATTATGACTGAAATGTGAACGGTGCATAATAATTGCTACAACTTTTTGAGCATGTATGTGATAGGTTCTTTAGGTACATGATCATACTTTATTCAGATAGCATATTTCCTAATTAAGTATTTTTTTCTAATTTGCACAGGAGGAAACTCAGTCTTAGAGGGATTTATTGTACCAAGATCAGAAATGTAGTAAGTTACAGAACTGTGATTCAAACCCAAATTGATTCCAGATCTCATTATTTTCCACCATACTTATATCTATTATATTTATAACCTCCATACTTTTCAAAGGTGTATATAAATTACTCCATAAAATGCTTGAAGTAATTGCATTTCTGTGCTGGAATTACAATTTTGTCATATTTTTTCATGTTTCAAGAGCTCTTAAGGAGTATGCCTGCATAATTTTATGTAATTTTGGTATGAAAGTCAGTTCAATTTTTAATCTTCACAGCCTTGAATTAATTTCATATATGTGTGTGTCTAATGTGATATTAAAGTAAATGTTCATGCAAAAATCACAATACACAAAAGTTTATAAGATGGAAAAGTTTATCAGATGGTCAACTATTATTCCATTACCGAGAGATTACCATTGTTAATCCATCAGAAATTTTATTATGGGGTATGTGTGTGTCTCTTTGCCACAGAGTTTATATTGGAGGCCTTAAAATCAGAGAAACTTATTTTTGATCCCAGCCTCAGTATTTACTAACTGCATGAACCTCAGCAAATAGCTTTATTCTAATAAACTTATTGTCCTCATCTGTACTTTGGAGATCAAATAAAATAATTTAGTAATGGACTTATAATGTACCTGGCACATGGAAGGTGCATCAAGAATGATCATGTCAGTAGACTGAGTAAACATAACTATTTAGACTCCAATACAGATAGTAATCAAATGCCCCTCAAATTTTAAAATACATATTTATATCACAAACAACGAAATAATTCCAATCTCATATAAACCAAGAGAATATAAAAAGGTAAAATATACCCAAACTTCATTTATGACACTAGCAACATATTGATACCAAAACCAGATAAGGATGGTAAAAGAAAATTATAGATAACTTTCACTTATAAACATAAATACAAAAACCTTAAAAATAATATGTATGCATGTGTATGCACATGCTGGTAAGGTAAATGTATCAATTTGGATGTGAGATTACCCTTAGAAAGTCAATTAATATAACTCCCCACAGAAAAAGGTTAAAGGAAAACTGCAAGATTATCTCAATAGATGTAATGAATAAGCATTTGATAAAATTCATTTACAATAAAAACTCTTACAAACTAAAAATAGAAAGTACTTTCTTATTGTTCAATTCCCACCTATGAGTGAGAACATGTGGTGTTTGGTTTTTGGTCCTTGTGACAGTTTGCTGAGAATGATGATTTCCAACTTGGACACAGGGCAGGGAACATCACACACTGGGGCCTTTGTGGGGGTGAGGGGCTGGGGGAGGGATAGCATTAGGAAAAATACCTAATGTAAGTGATGAGTTGATGGGTACAGCAAACCAACATGGCACATGTATACCTATGTATCAAACCTGCACGTTGTGCACACGTACCCTAGAACTTAAAGCATAATAATTTTAAAAAAGTATTTTATTTAACCACATAAAGGGAAGCTACCAAAACCCTCAGGAAATATAAATACACCCAGGATAAGCAGCAGCCAGAAAGAGGATGAATAAACAGAACTTTCAGAACAGATTCTTTGAAAAATAGCTCAGAAACAACCTTCTGGTACTGGTACAAGAAAAGGCACATAGACCAAGGGAACAGAATGGAAAACCAGGAAATAGGACCACACACCTACAACTATCTGATCTTCGACAAACCTGACAAAGAGAAGCAATGGGGAAAGGATTCCCTCTTCAATAAATGGTGCTGGGATAACTGGTTAGCCACATGCTGAAGATTGAAATTGAACCCCTTCCTTATGCCATATACAAAATTTAACTCAAGATGAATTAAAGACTTAAATGTAAAACCCCAAACTATAAAAACCCTGGAAGATGACCTAGGCAATACCATTCACGACATAGGCACGGGCAAAGATTTCATGATGACGATGCCAAAAGCAATTGCAATAAAAGCAAAAATTGACAAATGGAATCTAATTGAACTAAAGAGCTTCTGCACAGCAAGAGACTATGAACAGAGTAAACAGCCCACAGAATGGGAGACAATTTTTGCAAACTAGTCATCCAACAGAGATCTAATATCCAGCCTCTATAAGGAATGTAAACAAATTTACAAGAAAAAATCAAACAACTCAATAAAAAAGTGGGTAAAGGACATGAACAGTCACTACATGCAGCCAACAATTACATGGAAAAAAAGTTCAACATAACTGATCATTAGAGAAATGCAAATCAAAACCACAATGAGCTACCATCTAATACCAGTCAGGATGGCGATTATTAAAAAGTCAAAAAATAACCGATGCCTGTGAGGTTGTGGAGAAAAAGGAATACTTATATACTGTTGATGAGAGTGTAAATTAGTTCAGCCATTGTGGAAGACAGTGTGGCGATTCCTCAAAGACCTAAAGATGGAACTACCATTTGACCCAGCAATGCCATTACTGGGTATATATGCAAAGGAATATAAATCATTCTATTATAAAGACACATGCATGCATATATCCATTGCAGCACTGTTCACGATAGTAAAGACATGGAATCAACCTAAATGCCCATCAATGATAGACTAGCTGAAGAAAACATGGTATGTATACACTATGGAATATTATGCAGCCGTAAAAAGAATGAGATCATATTCTGTGCAGGGACATGGATGAAACTGGAGGCCATTATCCTTAGCAAACTAATGCAGGAATAGAAAACCAAATACCACATGTTCTCACTTGTAAGCAGGAGCTAAATGATGACAGCACATGGACACATAGAGGGGAACAACACACACTGGGGCCTATTGGAGGGTGGAAAGCGGGAGGAGGGAGAGAGTAAGGAAAAATAAGTAATGGATTAATACATGGCTGATTAAATAATCTGTATAACAAACTCCTTTGACACGTTTACCTATGTAACAAATCTGCACGTTCTGCACGTTCCCCTGAACTTAAAAGTTAAAAAAAGACACATGTACACACGTTTATAGCACCACATTTTACAACTGCAGAAATATGGAAACAATCTAAGTGCCCATCAACCAATAAGTGGGTAAATTAAATGCGGAATATACACATCATGGAATACTACTCAACTATAAAAAAGGAACAAAACAATGTCTTTTGCAGAAACTTGGATGGAGCTGGAGGCCATTATTCTAAGTGAAGTAACCCAGGAATGGAAAACCAAGTATCATATGTTCTCACTTATACGTGGGAGCTAAGCTATAAGGATGCAAAGGCATAAGAACAATATAATAAACTTTGGGGACTCAGGTGGGAAGGGTGGGAGGGGGGTGTGAGATAAAAGACTACATATTGGGTACAGTGTATATTGCTCAGTTGATAGGTGCACCAAAATTTCAGAAATCACCACTAAAGAACTTATCCATGTAACCAATAATCACTTGTACCCCAAAACTATTGAAATAAAAATATATAATAAAAATAAATTAAAAATTAAAAAATGAAGACTGAAAACTGTAAAACTTCTAGAAGAAGACAGGGGCAAAGCTCCATGATGTTGGTCTAAGTAATGATTTCTTGGATATGACCCTGAAAGCACAAGCAACAAAAGCAAAATGAGATGAATAGGATTACATCAAACTAAAAATCTTCTGCAAACCAAAGGAAACAATTCATAGACTGAAGGGACAGCCTATGAATTTGGAGAAAATATTTTGCAAGCTATACATCTGATAAGGGGATAATTTATAAGCAACTCAAATACCTTTACAGAAAGAAAATAAACAATCCAATAAAAAGTAGATATGTCTCAAGAGAAGACATACAAATGGCCAACAGATATATGAAAAAAAAATGCTCAATACCACTAATCACTAGGGAAATTCAAGTTAAAATCACAATGAGTCATCACCTTACACCTATCAGAATAGCTATTATCAAAATGATGAAAGTACATGTGGCAAGGATTTGGAGAAAAGAGGACAGTTGAACACTGTTGTTTGGAATATAATTTCATACTGTCCTTTTGGAAAACTGTATGGAGGTTCCTCAAA